CCTGGTAAGTCACACGCAAAGAACCTTATTAAAAGAAGGAATATCTATTTTGTTAATTTGAATATATTCATAAGCTAATAAAATGGTTCATAGTTAACGGAGTCAATAATAAGGCATTAAGGCTGACATCTTCCGGTGAATTTTCTATGAAGTTATCAGGCTTAATGCCTTATGAGTGAGTATCTTAACCTGGCTATGTTCCTTTTAAAGAGCTAATTTAAAGTTCAAAATATTCAAATTACAAATACATGTTCCGATTTTTAATTAAGGTTTTTGAATATGACTTACCACGGGGATAACATTTAGGGTAGCTACTGCCTCTTTTAGGGGGCTTGTGGAACTTTAATTTTAATATTTAACAATGCTAACAAAAGGACTCAATTGCATAAAGTGCAATAAATTAACTTCATGTTTGTTTAAACTGACTTTGAGGGTTATTATCTAAAATGATCAAAATAAGATATTATATTAAAAATGAATGTTTACTTTAAAGCTCGCTCAGCTTAACTTGTCGTTTATATAAATTTTTGGAAATTGTTTTTTGAGAATGTTCTCAAAATTCACCTATACATATGTATTTGTGTTTGCTCTCATGGTAGAATTATTTTAATTTCTGATACATATATCTTTATATGTAACTTTTTATTTAAGAAAGCATAAAGCTGAACAGGCATTGAATAATTTGACTCATGACGACAAAATCAGGTTGAATAAATGTCTTCTTGTGTTATAACTGTTATAAAGCTCCTTACAAAAGATCCAGTTCAGACGATTTTAATTGACTTCCAGCCTTGGTAGGTCAACACAAAATGACATAGATTACAACGTCTGGTAGATCGTATGTGGTGTATTTATAAACCTGATATAAATTGGAATGCTCATCTCAATAAAAAATGTTTGAACAACATTTCATTAAACATTATACATGCATATTAACATCATCTAAATTTCACAATTTTAAATACAAATTTAGTTAATTATTGTACCAATGCGTATTTTAGAATTTTATAATAGCACTTAATCTCATCGTCCTGGAATAAGGTTAAAAGTTTAATAAATAATACATTTGATAAATCGAGATAATTATTTGCATCATGCACATCTCTTTTCTTTATTTGTAACATTATCGTACTGTATTGATTCAACGCTATGTGATCAAAGGCAATTTGTTTTACCGTCTGTGTAATATGAATTGTGTTTACAACCGATCGTCACAACTCTACAATGCATCTGTATTTGTGTGTATAATTGTAGGTTACATATTTGCAATGTGAAACACTATCATGTGTAAATGCAGCTCCTGTGGTTAGTAGGTCTCCCTGTTTACATACACGTAAACAAAATTAAAGACGTCAGCTCTATTAGTAAATAAAACGCCATTTACCTTGATATTATAAGTGTTATAACAGAGTAGATATACATAAACAAAAAGAACACAAACATCAGAGTAGTAAATGTAGAATTGGTTGCAATTACAGCCGTAAATACCACAATTTACTTATCTTTTTTTTTCTCTTTTACTTTTTCCCCGTTTAAACACCCTCAGATAAACCAAATAACCAAAGACACTGTTTCATATCAATAAAGTGAGAGAAAAAATAATCAAAAATGTTTTCAAATAGGTACATCTATGGGTCGTCAGTCTTACTGTTAGAGTAACCCTGGTCAATTAGGACGTAGTGTTATTTGCCAATTGTGACAACAGTTCGTTAATTGTTTCCGTTAGATGTGTGTAGCCTTACAGAAATGGTGAACATTGCAAAATAAAACGACTTCGTTTCCATAAAAAAATGTCTTCCACCAATTGGTAAAATGTATAAATAAAAACAAAACGTAAAGATTCGACCAGAATGATTGAAAATGCAAATTTTACATTGAACCTTCACGCAAGGATTGAATTGCATCTTTTACTATTAACATTGATGATAAGCGCAACAACAGTTCCGTTTTAACATATTTTGCAAGATGCGCAACTGTGCAGCAAGGGAATTGTGTTTCAGTAACTGTGTTGCATACCATCGTAAATACTTCAATACATTTTACTGTAACTCATTATTTTTTTGTTCTTTCCAATTTTCGTTATGAAACTAATTAAGAGTGTCTAAATATGCATGTCAAGAAAAGAAAAGAAACGCATTCATGTTTTGTTCTAAAATGTTTAATTTCGTATAATGAATACAATGAAGCTGAATACCAACAATGATGTAACTGAGATCGCTGTCGTAATATACATGGGAAACATATGTCAAAATAGATGTGTTATGATTGAAAACAGCCCAAAAAATTAGGCACATGTATTTTTGTTGACAAAAGAAAAGTCTATAATAGTTTTCTAAGGGTGATTCTTACTTCTTGTTTCCGGAGCAGCAATATGTACGATATCTCGTATTCAAAACTTTAAATATACTTCCTAACCTGTATGTCCTCCAGTGTGTTGTTATGTTTTTTTTATGTTATCAACATCAAATTACTTCTTAAAAGTCACTAACTAAATGTAAAGGAAAACGCGTCGTAAAATGTTCATACATAAATGAGATAACATTTGATATGGAATATGGTTGTAATACTGTTTAGATGCACATTAAATTTTTTGTGCAAGCGGAGTGAATAATATTCCTTCGAGTAAAACTCTCCTTAATCTAGACAGTACCAGGCTCTTTTCATTTAGTCGTTCCTGCACTTTTAATGGTGTGACGTCATTGGCAAATCAGTGAGAAATATAAATTCAATATTGCAATCTTCTGCTGCAAACTACCACAGTCCAAATTAGCGAGGTTACATATTAAGATATTAAATATAATCAACTACCAGCGATCACTTTTAAAATATGGTGCCCTTTTCCCTGGATTATTAGAGTATTGGCATATACTTTACATGTTTTGCAGGGAATATTAAAGTCTTGTACATTTAATAGGCAATTTTTTGTTTAAAAGTCTATAAAGAAGATTCTTCCATCAAATGGAAACTGTAATAGAAAATTGAAGTGTTGCTTAACGTCTGAAATTTACTAAACTGATCTCGCACAATGCATTATCCAGTGATGCAATAAATTAACGTTTGTCTCCCCCACTTGTTCGTGGAGTAGATCCTCACGACAAGCATTAAACACACACCCTACTGCGTTAATGCAGTCAAGATGCTGTACCTATTTACATAACGCTAGGATAGAAAGGCACTGAGGAAAAGGCATTCAGCAGACACTCTTTCACAAACGCATTTAATAACGTAGAATTAGTCATACTATTTCCAACTCTACTAAATCATGTAAAAATAGTCTAACGAAATAGGTCGAACTGCGTCGGACGATGAACTGTAATTCTTTGCTTATCATTAGTCATAAAACGGCTTCCATCTTCAGTGAGATTGGGGAAAGCGAACACTATTCTATAGGTTCTGTTTTTGATTAACCAGGTCTATAAAAAGATAGAAACATTGTTCACCGTTGTTATATATAAGTTTTGGATTATCTCGCAGAATTGTGTTTCATGTATATTCACTTTATAAAGTAACTGAAACATGAATGCATTCTGAATAAATGAAATGCGAACATTCACTTGTTTTCAAATCGAACAAACCAGAATGAAAATGTTCTCATTACTATTTATGTATGTTATTAAGAATACAACACATGTATCTACATTATTTTTTACAATAGGGACCACAGAACCATTCAAAATAGATTTCGGCTTACCCTGTAAACAAATACAATAATATACTGCTATTGGGCAATTTTATGACACACCCTAATCTTTAAAACGACCCGGCCTATTAGGTACACTTGTAATTGTGTATGTCACGCCTCTTCAAAAGGGGTGGGACCTGACAAGCCGCTTAAAAGGGAATGGTATATTAAACACCATTATTGGGAAGGGACTAAGACTTTGATATTTTATGTAACAGGTTTAGTTTTTAAATTCTATTTTGTGCACTGAGAAAATATTGGTTATGGACGAATTGGGGTGTGGTAAGGTGATATGGGGCTGAGAAAGGTTGCGATGGGGCGGCGGAAGGGTCGGTGTGGGTAGTATTTGGTTATGTGGTCCCATTTAATATTGTTTTATATATGCACGACCAAACTAGCACTTCGTTTCGCACCAACCTAACCACACACACAAGCACACGTACATATGTACAAAAACCAACGGAGACAATTAGAAAACAAATAAAACTTTCTGAATAATATTACGATATATGTAATTGTATCACAGACAAAATCGTTCATTCATTGAAACAATCTGATATTACATTAATATCGCGGTGTAATAACTCTATAGAGTAAATTTATACTATTTGATATATTCTGAATTTATATGAAATAACTTTAATCAGTAAAATGATACTGAGGGAATGCAAAATAACGCAAATATTTGTATACTTGTTAAAATACAAATGTTAAGAAAATAAATGAAAAGGATATGTGGTTTTACAACAGTTTGATAACGAAATAGTAGGCGAGGGATTAAACGAGCTTTGAAACCGACGCTACAAATGTAGTGAGTTACGGATGGTAATTGATAAAATTCAAACATTCAGACAAATAATGCCAACTTTCCTATCCTTAAAAAAGCTACAAAACCATCCATAGGGTTGGTTAATTAGGAACGGCTATCATTATTTATACTTCCTCCGACAAAGTTACCATGAATAACAGTGACATAGCTTTTTCGTGTCGTTTCTGTAATCAGTCCAGATTCCCACATGCACATGTTCCACGTTTTTGATACCTCGTCCCTTCTTTCTGGTGTTTATCTCTCGTTGACTCACTTTATGTGATAGTGTATCTTGCGCAAGAATAGGTCCTTTACATCAGCGTTCCTTGTCCGCGATGCTCTTAGATTTAGGGGAGAGGACTATTGGTTTTATATAATAGCTATATTTTCAATTATAGTACAATGTATATCAGTTCTATCTTCTTGTAATATGACGTATATGTACATGTAATTGTTCTGTTTCACTGTGTCTTGATAAAGGAGCGGATCGCTCCGAAAATTTGACAACCTAAACTTATCCACACTGTTGGAATTACTTCTTTGCCCCATATTACTTGGTAACAGATACATGTATAACATTAACTTGTTTGAAGCTTTACACATGAAAGTTGTCTTGTCGGAAAAATAACTGCAGTATTAAAAGTAACATTTCACACCAAACAAAAATGGAAAACAAATCCTCTGCATAAACTATCATAGCTAAATTAACGCTAATAACATAAAATATAATATGATATAAATAAAAAATCAACATAATAAATAAAATTTGGCATCAATATATTAAAAACACTATAAACTCTGATAATTTAATCTATTGAATCCACGTTCACATACTGCAAATATAGTATGAACAAGTTAAATATTTGTTCCATTGTAAAGTATATACCCAGGTTTATAGATACCGTTATTATGGAGTTTTGCCATGTGAAAGTTATTTTAGAGCAGCAAGATTTAAAATATTATCATAAAATATGTATTTCTGGTTGGAAAAGATAAGGTATTTTATATTGTATAGGATTTCACTTAACATAAAAAAATGTTAGGCGTGTAACGTGTGAATCTACCCTAGGATTCGTAGAATCACTAAAGTGGCGAATTATTAAACTAAGCGATTGATTTAAATAAAAATGTACAATTTGCAATTTTACATTGAAAAATGAGGAAATTTGTTGAACACAAGTATAACTTTGGATGAATGGCAAGTACAGCCACTCCAAGCTGCTACCTGTGTCAGAAAGCATATAATCACGTGATGGACATACATATGAGGTTAAATATTAACCAATAAACAACCAAAGCTCGTTACCGTATTATACCGTTATCAAATTCATAACAGGACTTTCGACAGGAAAACAACATATTCATATGTTTAATTCTTTTTTTCTCTCTCCATAAATTAGAAACAAAATCATGAACTCAGTTGTATTTGCTAATATTATAAGTCGCGAATTGGCGAAAATGTTTACAGTTGCAAACATATTAAAAAGCAGATATTAGACATAAAAAAAAATCAAATTCAATGATGCACCAGGTTATGTAAGAAAAGTAAAACGATAATTGTTGGTTTGAGCATCTATAGTCGTTTAACGCGTTTTGGTTCGTAAACAAAGAGGAGTTGCTGCCAAGAAAGTGAAAGTTCAGCAGTAGGTAGGAGAGTCCAACCTTCACATATACAATTTCTAAAATATAAGGGGAATTCCGCACTCAACCAATGTAGGTCCTTCAACCCGTTTTCGCTAATTGTATTCTGGATAGGGATTATTAAATATATTTTTTATCAATTCAAGAATGCCACTGATGCTAGCTACTATCATTATTTATATTCTAAGTGTATGGGTTTTATCAGTTGTAATAATCTTCTCGAATGATATATACAGTGCTGGTTCAATTACGATATATACAATGAGGTCATAAAAATCAAAGATCACGTGTATTATTAAACGCCTGTCATACATTGCTATGCTCCTCTACTGAATTTCTCTGTTTTGCTATTTTTTCTTTGAAATTTATGTAAAGCAGTTTGATGAGTTCTGAAGCGATCACATCATTCGCATTGTTACTAACTGCGCGTAACACAAACACTCCGTCTTGTTGTAGATAGGATTCTACAAACTTCCTCACAACTTTCTTGTCCAGTTCTGATTTCTTGTACATGTCATTTAATCGGAGATATTTCCGTAGATAAGACCTTCGATGTTGAGGGAAGATGACAGCGTAAATGTTAATGACAAATGAAAATGCCGATAATGCGGCAACTAACACGATCCAAAACCACATGAAGATGAAGATTTTCTCGTTGAAGAGATTTATCGGCAGTACACACTGAACTGTCCAGCGTTGCAGATTGGTCATCTGTCGAATCTCAAAGTCACACAAGGTCACACGTGGAAAACGTGGAGAATAAGTCCAGTCATCCCCACTTACAAGATTGGTTAACACCTCAAACCCGTAAACGTTATAGCTCGTGCCCAAAAACGCGTTCAGCAGGAAAAGCTGTCCTACCGCATTACCGAGGTACAGCAGTTTTACCGCCATCACTGCGGTCACCAGGTAGTTACCATAGTGACGTCCACACAGGAAGCAACAGACCTGACCGACCCTCTGACGGAATCTGACACACATTCCTGCTCTGAACTGAGTGACCCCTTCCATCCACTGGTCAAGATATTTGACGATGTAAGATAACTTCTTTTCTCTATCCTCCGGGTTAGCATACTGTGTTTCTTTTGCCAGCGTACAAAGACGATCCAAACTGATACCGGAAGCGGCCGAAAATACTTTAAAGACCATCCGGGGGAGTTTGAAAAGAAGCGCCATGGTGAGTAAGATCATTGGAATCCACTGGTAATAAGTCAGCTCCTTCTGGCGGCGTCCCTCAAGTTCAACCGGGATCTGATGCTGCATCGGGATGTAATACGTATTTGAAACCCAGCAGACGAAATTAGTATACTCCACCCGATTTTCTGTGAAGTCTGCTGGGCACCAACACTCAATGGGGTCCCCCACGTATTGATTAGTACTCACTATAACAGTAAATATTATCAGTATTATCACTGTGTAATAGTGACTTAAGCGGTCGATAAAGTCGTCATCATACACTGACTTGAGTCCTATGGTATGTCCGACTGTCCCGAGTACATGGTCGAGCCTGGGAAAGAGAAATAATAACAAGGCATTAAAAATTTTAAAAAAATCCTAATATGATTTGAATTGAAAAGGAGTTATTTATGGAAATATATTATATCTTATTTTCTGTAAAACATGTACTCAAGTTTCTAAGATTTATTTTGTTAAATTTTGTTTATATTTTTCTCGTGTATCTTATTAAGAATTCTAATCCTTTAATTTCAGGGGACATTTCATTTAATGTTCTGTATTATACAATAGCAATGCAATATAATCAGTAGGAAGAACACAACCAGATTTTCATTATTACAACTTCATATTATTTATAGCATATTTTTCGTTAACAAATGCATATTAGCAAAATGAAAGTATAATTCCTAGGCCATGAAAATACAGATTAGTACGAAAGTAGCACTTCAATTTAGTATGAAAGGTTCCAGTACTGATAAGCTCATTTTGATACCATCTGTACTTTGAACGTTCCCTAATGCGACACACCTGCCTGGTCTAGAGTTAGCTTTCTCCCAACTTTCATATGTGTGTCTCCCGTTTTAGCCGGGAAATACCAGCTTGTCACCCCCTAAGGGGAGATAGCCTCGTGCCGATTAGCACGTGTTCAAATGGGACGTCATTAAAATGCGTCATCGGTAATTGTGACGTCATCAAAAGTGAATGACGATATCCATACAGTGTACCCAACACGTGTCTTTGTTTACTTACATGGCAGACTACTGTTGGTTGAGCTGTGACTAAACTAATAGGATAAGAGAAAAATAATCTTCCCCTACATGGAGGGAGTAACAGAGAAATCTCCAACCCTCGGGGTATTTTTTTTGGTTGTCTAACCCTCGGCAGAGCCTCGGGTTGGACAACCAACAAATTTCACCCCTCGGGTTGGAGATTTCTCTGTCACACCCTCAAAGTAGGGGAAGATTCTATTAATCTACTAAGTAACGTCAACTGGCTCGAATTGGACCTGACATCCCTGTTCATGTTTATTGCATCAAAGTTAAAGTCGGCAAACACATTTTGAGTATTATGTTGTAAGTATTAAGATATGCTTTAAAAATTGAAATGTAAGGAGTAACGGCTTAAACGCATTAACCCCTGAAGACACATTAAACTCTTCCAATTCAAATGTTGGAATAGTTCATTTTGAAATTACAGGGGTGAATGGGTTAAATGTTAATTCCATTGTTATTGAAATATAGGTGTAGGCGGGTTCGTTTGTAGTGAATTCATTAATGTAATGGGGATATATATAGCAATCTGCCTGCAAAGTACTGTTTCTAAAGAAAATGTTGATATTCACGTTTCCTGATATATACTTTTACATGTAGTATCATTGAAGATGAAGTCGACAAACATTGTCATTTGACATCATAATTCAAATATTGGAAGTAAGGTCCAGTGTGTTACCCAGCAGTGGGTTATAATAAGTCTGTATTAACCCCTGGATCTATCCAACGAGTATGGAGATGAGAAACATAAAGTGGCTGGGATTAAAAACAGGGATAAACTACGTACCAGTCCACCATCTTGTGTCCTACCACTGTGTAACAGGTGTGCTATCCATTCGACTCTACGATCAGATATGACCCTAATGTGGTCACTCTTGAAATGTTGACTGATAAAAGCTGATACATTATCATTTATATTTGCTGTTTGTTACAAAATAGTATCTCTTGCAATATACCTATACATATATGCGTTAATGTTTCATTTATAACGTATTGTATTGAATTACCTAATGCAATGTTAACGTGGGTAAATTGAAGATAATTGTAGGGTTGTGTATGATCAATTAGCACTGACTTTCTGGTATATACGAGTATTAAGTATTACAAAGAACAATTCACGTCGCCTATCCTTACTTACAGTTCTTACTGTTTATTCGAACGTATTTAATCACAAATTCAAACTCTTACTTAAAATATACTGTTTTAAGTACAATGTATCTGTATGGGATAGTTTGATTAACCCTTCAGAAAAACGAAAACGTATTTGAAAGGTATCTGGAGGAACGCCACAATCATCGATGCACGATGACCTGCTTTTCAAGGAGTATACAAACGATACATATTTCTTAGATCTCAATCGTCTCAGTTGGGCTCAATAAGAAAAACAAAGGATATATTCCTCTTTCAGTGATATTTACAAAACAACATACCTACAAAGATCTATTTATAGAATTGAGGTAGAAAAAAACAGTAATTAGTTTTATGCTTACAGTGAAGAACGTAATGTAACATATGGTATTACGTAGGTTGCGACCCCCTGTAGTTCCCTAGCCAGGTCTGAATTAGTTGTATAATGTTTTGGTGGTGTAACTCTGTTATCCCACTCTAAAGATCACGATATTATAAATGTACAAAGCTGATGGGAACTTACAGTAAATATGCTATCAGACATATTTCAACAAGATTTAAATATCTCTTTTTTGGTTCACTGGACAACTTCGAATATTTTGCGAAATTTACGACGAAAGTACTCACGACTATAAATAATTTATAATAGCGAATTGACTAAGATTATCTCATGGTAAGTACGTGTTCACAAGATCGTGAACAATATAAAAAAAATACTGGTATAGTTAATATTAAACATATTTTGAAGTAGTACAAAGGAATTTGGGCAAACAATGTGGTGCTATATTAAAACTAGTCTCTGTAGGCGGCCATATCTCATTAAAACCTCCGCCCAGTGCTTTAAGAGTGCCGCAGATCTACTGGCGCCTGTCTCAAGTGATGTAGTGCTTCATTATAACTTGTCAAAGTGATGGGTGGCTGTAATGGGGTACACAAAGTTTACTTAGACGGGGAAGAGTATAAAGGTTTAATGCTAGAAACAAGTATGGCGATGCTACTATATGATAGTGAGCTTTTAATATGACCACTTGGTATGGCTTGGGACAAAATGGCGACAAGTGTTATGATCAATTCATCACCTATGTGTAGTGCAGAAGTTAGGTAAGATGTGACAAAAACTTTAACCATGGGATTCGAACCAGATTAATTGTCCTTAGTTTGTGTATTGTCATCAATACACCAAAATTGATTTGTTTACACAATTTCATTAACATTTGAACTATTGGCTTTTCTATTCAGCCCTTTTTATTCAACCTTCACTCAGTTGTACAATGTGGTGTGACATTTTAAGATCTTAATGTATTGATTGGTTTTTGAAACTACCATGCGTTTCCTGTACCGTCGAGTTGTATTGACGAGCCTGTGTGACTACTGTGTGGTATTGTATAATATCTTTATACTGGTGGGCTGTTAAGATTACCGTGTAGACCCTGTATGACCCAATAGTGTTTAGCCGTTAATACTACCAGGTGATCCCTGTACGACCTATGTATGTTGATGGACTGTTAATACTACCGTGTGGACCCTGTATGACCAAATGTCGTTGAGCCGTTAATACTACCAGGTGATCCCTGTACGACCTATGTATGTTGATGGAGTGTTAAGACTAACATGTGGACCCTGTATGACCCAATAGTGTTGAGCCATTAATGATACCAGGTGGTCCCTGTACGACCTATGTATGTTGATGGAGTGTTAAGACTAACATGTGGACCCTGTATGACCCAATAGTGTTGAGCCGTTAATACTACCAGGTGATCCCTGTACGACCTATGTATGTTGATGGACTGTTAAGATTACCGTGTGGACCCTGTATGACCCAATAGTGTTGAGCCATTAATGATACCAGGTGATCCCTGTACGACCTATGTATGTTGATGGACTGTTAATACTACCGTGTGGACCCTGTATGACCAAATGTCGTTGAGCCGTTAATACTACCAGGTGATCCCTGTACGACCTATGTATGTTGATGGACTGTTAAGACTAACATGTGGATCCTGTATGACCCAAAAGTGTTGAGCCGTTAATACTACCAGGTGATCCCTTTACGACCCATGTATGTTGATAGACTGTTAAGACTAACATTTGGACCCTGTATGACCCAATAATGTTGAGCCGTTAATACTACCAGGTGATCACTTTACGACCCATGTATGTTGATAGACTGTTAAGACTACCGTGTGGACCCTGTATGACCCAATAGTGTTGAGCCGTTAATACTACCAGGTGATCCCTTTACGACCCATGTATGTTGATGGACTGTTAATACTACCGTGTGAACCCTGTATGACCCAATAGTGTTGAGCCGTTAATACTACCAGGTGATCCCTGTACGACCTATGTATGTTGATGGACTGTTAAGACTACCGTGTGGACCCTGTATGACCCAATAGTGTTGAGCCGTTAATTCTACCAGGTGATCCCTGTACGACCTATGCATGTTGATGGACTGTTAAGACTAACATGTGGACCCTGTATGACCCAATAGTGTTGACCCGTTAATACTACCAGGTGATCCTTGTACGACCTATGTATGTTGATGGACTGTTAAGACTACCGTGTAGACCCTGTATGACCCAATAGTGTTGAGCCGTTAATACTACCAGGTTGTCCCTGTACGACCTTTGTAGGTTTATGAACTGTTAAGACTACCGTGTAGACCCTGTATGACCCAATAGTGTTGAGCCGTTAATACTACCAGGTGGTCCCTGTACGACCTATGTATGTTGATGGACTTTTAAGACTAACATGTGGACCCTGTATGACCCAATAGTGTTGAGCCGTAAATACTACCAGGTGGTCCCTGTACGACCTATGTATGTTGATGGACTGTTAAGACTAACATGTAGACCCTGTATGACCCAATAGTGTTGAGCCGTAAATACTACCAGGTGGTCCCTGTACGACCTATGTATGTTGATGGACTGTTAAGACTAACATGTAGACCCTGTATGACCCAATAGTGTTGAGCCGTAAATACTACCAGGTGGTCCCTGTACGACCTATGTATGTTGATGGACTGTTAAGACTAACATGTAGACCCTGTATGACCCAATAGTGTTGAGCTGTTAAGACTAACACGTGAGCCCTGCACGACCTAAAGATGTGAATAAGCTGTTAGGACTATAGTGTGGTCTTGGTATGACTCAAT